TGGGATCGTTGTGTTCACTCCCAGGGGAACTACTTCGAGGGTGATGGATGAATTTAATACCTGAGATAAGTGTACGGGTTTTTATACGCGCAGTCTGGAAACCTTCCGATCGCACCTCGTATGTACTTCCCGCCTGCGTTTAGGTTATTTTAGAAGAGACCACTCGAGTGTTTTAATTCTAACTTCTCTACCTGTCGTAACTTGTTCCCTACTTCAATAAGCGTCAACCACTTCCTTGTCAGTCCGTCTGTTGTGAAGTAGTACTTGACTTCCACGTCATGGATTTACGAATGGATCGAAGATATATGACACAGTTTTGTTTGCGTTTATTCAGAACGGACACAGGAACATTTCTCTTGATTAAAAAGAGCTCTTTATGTCGTGGATGAATGAATGAGTGGCATAAGAATGTTGTGGCGTGCGTGGATCAATCGAAGATGAACCCGTAGCATTAATTAAATCACGAACCAGCTGATACATCTGTAAAACCAATGTATTATATTAATTTCGCTCCTGTCAGCTTTGTAGATGTATCTGTTATTGTAGGGAAGTTATTTGTTTTGCACGTAACGATGTATATTGGATTAAACTGGCTCAAAATCTGACGTACTTTATCGATAGCGATGTTTGAGTATTAGGATACGGGAGAATAATTTATTCATTTAGTGGTCAGCTAGGTGGTATTTATTGTAGTTTATTGGAGTCGTACAGTGCCAAAATGATAAAGTACATTTCGGAGGTATAAGCGTGACGTTTTATCAGTGCCAAAATTGTGATAGTTATCGACCCTAAAGAAGGCAGAAAGTTCCTCTTAAACATCGGTAATCGTACCCAATAAATAGGGGTAGTAGGCACGTGATGTCTGTTGGTTGGTGAGCTTAGTTAGTCCAAATTTTAACCGCAGTGATAATCCGCTGTTGGTAAATCAATGTCTTTCGTAAAGAATGTAATAGGCTAAAATGTCTTCCAGAAATATTAAACGAAGAGCGAATAATGAAATATGAATACGAAATGAACCACAAGCATGCTTGTATAATTTGTTAACATTTGAATTCTAGAAAGTGCAAACATTGCACTGGAGTGTAACGTTGATTTTCGGGGTATATCTGAAAACGTGCATGTAGTATGGATCTGTAAGCCTGCTGATGAAAATTGTGGATCGAAATAGTCCGTTCAGTTGTGCAATTATAAATGTATAAATCCCTGATAACGTGTATGCGTAGATGAAAGACTTTCAAAGAAAGTGTAAGTCACAAGTTCTATATTTAGATAAATCTTGTCAGTCTAATCACAATAAAATTCTATTGAATATTAAAATATTACTATAATTAACATTTAAATATTTAAAATATATTAAATGATGTTCTCTATCGAAATGTTCGATTTACATTAGAACATCACTTTTTACACGACATGTTTCAGTTCTAAAAGAACCATCTTCAGGTGTATAAAATTATATAAACTTAAATATAATTTCTTAAATGCAACTTTTAGTCAGATGTTTATCAGATTTCAAATGATATTTTCTTCCAGATTTTATTGTATTTTTTTTTAAATATCGTATTCGAAGTTGTTCTGTATGTACGTCGTGACAAGATTTAAACAAATATATATTTATCACAATATGACGCAACTTTATCATCACAAGTTCTAGTTGACTTCTTGTTCCTACGTTCCTCGTTTTACACCTTTGCTGTTCTGACATGTATCGCTCCAGAATACACGTACTGCACAGTTGGAATCAGTGAATGAAGCTATAGAAATTGAGTCATGTACAAGAGAAACACTGCACGTTATCAAGTTCAGATCAGACGGGCTCATAATATCACTCTGTACTACTGAAATGTGTTATGGAATTATGTTCAGATCATATTTGATTGATGCACAGTACTTACACTGAATAGTGTACGTGTACGAGCTTGTCAACCAGAAGCTGTCTGTGGAAATCTTTCAACTCTGCAACCCTTAGTAACCTTGATTAAAAACCAACGCAACTGATTAGATCTGTGGAACAGAGCCCTACAAAAGGTGATGATCCTACATTTGATCAGTAAATTACCTGCTTTAATATGAAACTCGAGATGCATTTCCGTGTTTACAGCCGCCTGCCACTGGACCCTATTTTAATAATATCCTATCATTTACGACTGTGTCTACTAAATGGCCATTTATTTCCCTTCAGGCTATCCGGCTGCACGTTTGTATGAATTTCTCCACCCCACGCGTGTTACGTAAAATCCATCCACTTCAACCTCCTTGATTGACCCCCTAATATCTGGTTAAGAGAACTCTTCATATGGGACACCAGAAGTGCCTTAAATTGTACTAAAATAATTAAACTGACTGGGGATACTTATTTTATTTCTGACTGGATATTCATGTTGGCCATTATTGTGTTATGACGTGTTAGAGGATTGACATACAAAGATACGGCGGTCCATATATGTTCTGTAGACTTCAAAAACAGTTATTGTCGCCTAGCGAATACACAGAAGGATATACAGTCTCTTGAATCCAAAGACATTCCTCAATACGTATTTGGATACGTCATTTCTTGTTCTCTCAGAGAAAGTGTATGCAATGCAGAACCGTCCAGAACAGTGGATTAATTGGTCTTAATGTTTAGTGTTCGGCAAGCGGACGAGACACACACAAGTGGATGTCAATAAGCGTATTGATCCAGGCGTTGTATGTTCGCGTCCCTGCGATGTGCCATTTAAATAGCTTTTATTGGGAGTCTCACATTTGAGGGCAGGTATGAGAACTGCGTCACGTTGCTAGCATTCGCTACACTCGTGTCTTGGTATTTAATCAAACGTCAGGGATGACTTTACGATTTCCCATTTCTCGAAGTGTTCGTAAAATATTTTTTTGTTATTCTGACCCGGATTCTGGGGCGAGACAAGGTTTATTGACTGTGCAACAAATTTGCGAGTTATTTAACGTCCGCTGCTAGTTGTTCAGACTGTATAGCTAGTGCCGAATGATAGAACGATTAAAGAAGGATTAAATGTAAACAAAAAATGATAGGGGACGGCAATATAAGGTACATTACCGGAATTTACACGGAGGGATTGAGGAAAAACGAAGGAACCTAAATTAGGATAGGATGTCTCCGGGCCGAGATTGAACCCGTGACTTCTTAATATGATGTAGGGGCGCTAATAACATGGCAAAAACGATCGATTTTGAAGCGTTTTTAAGTTTGACTCAGAATTTATCCTAGACGCACATTGCAAGTTCTCAAACGTTCAATGTTTCCAGCTTAAAAAATTCCTCTCTCTCTCTCTCAATCCCCCCCTCTCTCTCTCTCTCTTCGTTTCTGTTCTCTGGTCCACGTGATAGAGAAAAGTTGTAATACATAATCATTTGGCTGTTTTCTTACGAAATCCATTGTATTTATAAACAAACATGCACCAAATACACTTCCGTGTTTTAAACATCAGTATCAGTATCATTGTTACATTCATCATCAAGTAGGTAACATGTAAAACCAGGACGACTTCCTTGTGATTGTACCCTTGTTTCCATTATTCTTTTAATTGAGAAGTATTTGTAATCAACAAAAGAGTTATGCCAAACCTTCTGTACCTGTAGCTTATATCCTCTTACGACGAAAATAATTCACAGTATATTTATAATAAAAAGTATAATAAATAAGATATATCACACAGGAAAAAATAAGACAAATCGACATTTACACTTTCAACATTCATGAGCTTTATACTCGGAGTAACGAAGTTTGTAAGCAACAGAACAGAACCTGTGACAGAGAGAAATGTGGAAACACGTTTTGAAGTTGAAACTTGCTTACCATGGTGTATACATATTTTAAATGTACTTAAAGCGATGTAGTTTCTGTTTATTCCTCGTAGACCATTCTTTTATCCAAGTGGCTTTTATAAACCTGAATCGTATTATTACTACTTTGGTTTATCAGCAGTTTTTCCCCCTCAAATTCCTGCTTAATTTGACATGCTGCTTATTTACCATTATCCCAATCAGATTTCATCGTTTTCAAGGCAGTTAAACTCCTCCCCCAAGTTTGAAGTTGCTGACTGCTTGTCATCCCAATTTTTATTCTTTTAATCGATTACTTTATTAACACTTCTCGGGCGAAGTCATATAGGACATAGCACCAGAATAGAACATACGCCCTTCATGCCAGGAACATTATGTCCATAGTTTGTGCATAAGCGTGAAAAAGGAAATTCATATGGCGCATATCGATTTCCCAGAGCGAGAGAGAAAGTCATCGAATGATACCTAAAACAGATTCAGTAATCACGAGATTCTTGCTATTTAACAAGTATCTGATGCTGTGCAAACCGAAATAATGTTTATGAGAAATTATACGAGATAGGATTTCTGATTGACAGGAATGAATAATTAAGGATGGGCCTTATTTGTAATACGAAAGACGACTGCAGATGCCAGATTTTTTTAACATGATCTCCTTTTCATATAATTATTATCCATTTCGAATTAAACCGTAGATGGAGAGTATCAAATAAGTGAAAGAATAAGTATGTTAAAAGAAATATCTGTACAGGCTAAAAACACATTATGACTTCTAGTTAGAATTACGTCCTTCAAAATCAAATGTATGTGAACAGGCTTAGCGATGTTTTAATATCATAAAAATGGATCATCTCCTTTCAGTCTTCTGCTTTAAGCAGTACATTACTTTACATAGGTAATTATTTAAGTAATAAATAATTAACTAATCTTTCTTACATGACAGTATAACATTCCACGAATTGTTAAATATACAATACACTGTTAAAAATATCGCTTGTTTGTATTAGTTCACTTTTCGGGTCATTTACTCATAATCACGCCGCCATATTAGTTTAGGAAATGTAAAGAAATATGCTTTGCAATATGCTCCCCCAAATTTCCTCCAGCGCAGACAGAAAATTATTTCTCAGCAAAAACATCTATGTGTGTATATATAAACAGTACACTACACACATAACCTACGAATAGTTAGCTCTGTAACACCAAATTTATTAATGTACAACAACTGCTGACGGAACGTTACGTAAATTAAACAGATTATTTTGTAAGATAGTTTGAGCAAGGGATTTCTATATAAAGTTACGACTTTGATGTCGAGGGAATCATGCCAGAAGGACGTAATTGTGACACTGCTTTACACAGAGATAGTTACATTTGGGCGCATGAACGCCAATAATGCACTTTAGTAAAACCAAATAAACATAAGAATTTAGTCTCCTGTGTATATAAGTAAATTTGTTGATACGCCCTTTTGGCGTGATGTTCTCGATATGTTTTAATGTTAGTATGCACACAGATCACCATTGCCCAAAATAATATTAGACACTAAAACTAAAATGGCGGCTCTGATATATTTCTATAGGACCCAGATTGAAATCGTTCTTGTGTCTTTCGATCGTGAACATGTTGCAGTAATATTTAATTTCTCCGGACACAATCACAGTCTTTCCTGACATTCTGTGGACAGGTAAAATCCTGAAAACGCGTATTAAACAAAAGTACACACATTCACTTAAACACCAGAGTTTATTATTCAGTGAGCGTATCGTCACTTGGCATGGTACTTACATGCACAAATATGTACACACTCACCGGCACATCACAGCTCTACTCGGTCGTCCATTTTGTTTGCCTTCACTTGGCGTAATTGTACAAGTGGACAGTTTCAATCAGCACTGGCATTTGGCATTAACGCCTAGAGAATTTCCAATCTCTTTAATATGTGGGACTTGTACAAATAATTTTAAAGGATTATCCATAAAGCCAATATTTTTTACGCACTCCTCATTACGAAATAGTTATTCATAACATACAAAATTAAATATATTCACTGGAAGAGATGGATGCTGTATTATTAATTATTTTGGCTTAAATGGAATCCTTCAAGTATACGTGAAAATATATTCCCAATAAGGCGACTAAAAATTGTATGACTGACTCACACGAAGGCAATTTAAATGCCGTATATATTATACATAGCTTTCCAAATACCAGGAACACTTAACGCTTGTGAAAATTCCACCTACACATATGCAAGAGTTACAATATATTGTAACGTGGGTCATATTTACAAGGCCGCCTCAAATTATGCAGATGAACTGCGTCATTCAGATTTAATTCTATTTATTATCATATGGTCTGACAGTGGGACGAAAAGCCTACAGCTAACGGAAGACTTAAATACCCCGACCATCTCTTAAGTTTACTTAATTGATAACGTTTTGTGTCTGATATGTACTAGGATTAAACTTTTTACCCACAAATGCTGGCTCACAATCAGTAATATTGTGTAGAATAAAAGCTGTCTCTCAACACAGCTTAATTTCTTGAGCATTTGGATAAATATTTCTCGCCGTGAACTGAGCACCTGTAAGCAAAACTGTTCGTACTGTGTCTGTGTATTGTGTGAATTCCAAATTTTAATTATAAATAAGTCTCACACTCCGAATACATGATTAGATTCGTTGTCTTTTCAGCTGAAAGGAAAATGTAATAATTGCGATATTGAAACGTGTAAATTATGTTTCGGTTCCGTATAACGAGTTTTAGAAAGCCAGAAGGTTGCTGAATGGAAGTGTAAGGAACTGTGGAGGCTGGGATCGATCTCCATCAGTTCATTAACTTCGCGTAATTAAGAATGAAAAATGATGACTGGTTGTAACCTGAAGGACTAAATTCTTGCTATATTTTATTCAAATAAAGGTACCGGCATGTTTCAAAACGTCAGTGCCGTGACAAACAAGAGATAAAATATATAACTTAATAAATAAATGAATAAATTATCGTCATTTCTGCAGAACTCCAATGTCTTTGTTAGTCGGGTCATTAATATAATTAAAATGTTTGATTCTTTAATCTTTTTGGTAAATTAACTGGCATTGGATTACGCTGGAAATAATTACAGATGCGATCTATTAACGTATTAGTCAGCATTAATTAATTACATAATTCTTCAATCGTCAGTCATTTAATTGATTAGTTGGGTCGAGACTCACGAAATGAAACGTTAGCAGTTCTTCAAAGCTGATTGCATAAAATTGATATAATGGTCTTCATACAGTGACGTTCCAGTCTTTATTCATTAAAAATCCAAATATTTAACTTCACAAGTTCTCTTAGATTTAGTCTATATCTGAGTTGCTTAATTCAAAAGCATCCTGAAGAATGATGTTTTATAACTCGAAATCTAATCTGAAATGTTATTACTCGCTTAACGGTACGTCAGTTCCTATTTAATGCCAAATACATGCATGTCATGTTGACTGATGAAAATATCAATTAATCTGCCGATTAGTCGATTTGTATATTATAAATACTTTATATCTGTTCAGATATTAATCAGTTGACAAACCAGTTCATGTGAAGTCTAGAAGTGGGCCGTATTCTGATTAAGTCTGCGCTCCACGATTACATTGTAAGTAGCTGTAAAATTATGAAATTTTGATGTATCCTGTCGAACACGTCGAAGATGCGTGAAGAATTTACCGGACGATCGAAAAGTATGATTTATTAAGCACTTCGAAATGAAGCAGAGTTCTTACCGACATGCTAGTAGTTTCTCAGTTAGCCAAGAAGTCCCCTATCCAGTCCACCCTATTCCGAAGATATTGAAAGAGCAACTCGTCAGAATTTAAAAAATTGTTTCGTATTCATGAATTGGAATTTAAGAGCCTTGTATTTGTGGGCATATTTAATTCAGATGGATATGTTGAGGATAAGTTGTGCTTGAGACTGAAATACGCAGTCCAATTGCATCGGTGGCCTCTGAAGATTATGGACGTGAACCAACTCACACTACCATCACAGGGACGTTTATACGTCTGTGCCACAGCCCTCCTGGTATCCCTCGTCAGGCGAGTTCCTGCTGCCGGACAGGACCCGTTTGAGGGCGGTTACGGGGGGCAGGACGGGCACCCCTCGCTGCCACACGCGAAGTGTCTTGGCGTTGGGCGGGGCGCCCGTGGCGCTAGTGGGTGACATGGAAGAGGGACTGTGCTGGACAGCCCCAACTTCTCGCAGCTTCTGGTCCACCCCGGTTGGTATGATGGGCAGTCCGTAGTCCGCGGGGTAGCCGTTGTGGTGGTGGTGGTGAAGTGGCCGTGGCAGTGTTCTGCAGGTGTACTCCTCGTCTTCCGTTGAGACTCCGCCGAGACTGGTGCCGTCTCCGATGATGGGTGTCCTGTCTGTAGTGTCGAATCCAAACCCTGCTGTCAGACTGCTCGTCGTCCTCCTGATGAAGAGGTCAGGAGACGGGTCAAGGCTTGACTGCTGGGGTTGCTCCCATAGACCAGAGGGATAAAGTGAGTCGCAACCTGTGGCGCGGCTGTATTCCCCACTGCCGGGTCGTAATTCTATGGGTATCCCAGTCTCATCGGCGACGACATCTCCGGCCTCGGGTTGTTGTGCGTGGCCGTTGGGGACCTGAACGACTCCTGCCGCTGGAAGTTCGCCGGCGTTGGCCAGTCGTTTGGTGTCTTTAATAAGGTCCGGGTTATTAGCAGGTGGACCCGAGGAAGGCGCCGTGAAACACTGAGTAGCATTGATCAGGCTCCCTTTGCCGTCGTAGTGGCTAGTTGTGTAGGCGAGTTCTGTCATTCGTGGAGGTTTTTGCACCGGGTTACACGCGACTTTCAGATCGTTAGAAACAACCTTATGCTCCGAAATAGAGGTGTCGCTGTTTGCCGCAGTTCCTATGGAAGATGGTTTGCAGGTAGTGTTGTTTGCAGCCTCAGCAATCGCTGCACTGGTCTCTATCTGCCCCGGTGTCTTGCTGTCGGAAAACGGCGGCCTTCTCAGTCTAACCAATAGCACCAAGATGATAAGCAGGATGAACAGAATGAGGATGACGAGCGCTGCACTCAGCCCCGCGATTTGCCCACTGCCAAGAGTGGCCATTCCGGCGGTCCGCAAGGACACGTGGAGGGTGAAGTTGGCCTCGGCATTACCGGCCCGGTTCTCTGCCACACAGTAGAACTCACTCGAGTCTGTTTCTTGGGCGTTAGTGAGCACCAGAGTGTTGCTTTTTTCAGATTGGCCATTCTCGTAGATGAAGACTCTTTGGTGTGAACTGAAGGCCGAGTTGTGAAGGAGGAGTCTTCCATTCCAGTACCAGTTTATTACCGCGGGGGGCTTTGCCCTCACTCGACACACCACAGTAGCGTTCTCACCCGTCGTGGCTTCAATGTATCTGCTACCTTTCAAAATCTCCGGTTTACATGCGAAGTCGTCAATATCTAACTCGGCGAATGTTCGATCAGCAATGCGTTCCGGCCCTCCGTAACATACCGGCGCAACGGGGTAGGGTACATTGTTCTTCATGAGCCACTCTTTGACCGCCCGAAGATGGCAGTCACACAGCCACGGGTTGTCGTGCAACTCGATCCCGCGAAGACCGTTCAGAGTCTCCACCGTCCGCGGACGCAGCTCACTCAGCTGGTTGCCGTTCAGTTTCAATGACTCCAGGTGCTCCAGGCCTTCGAAGGCTTTAGGAGCTATGCTCTGTATCTCACAGTGGGATAGGTCTAGCTTCACCAGGCTGGGAAGGGTTCGGAATGCGTAATTTTCAATCTTTTGGATCGGATTATGAGCAAGAATTACATCACGGAGAAGTGGGGCGTCGCTGAAGGTTTCTGAAGGGATTGAGGTTAAGAGATTAAGGGAGAGGTCCAAGTCCACGAGATTTGTCAGCCCGTGAAGCGCTTTATCGTCTATCTGACCAATTCTGCAGTTGCTAAAGAAAACTTTCTGTAGATTCAGCAGCTTTGCACGCACGAACATGTCTCTGGGGAGATTGTTGAGGATATTACCTGACATGTCCAGTACTTGAGTTTCCGGGTGCACTTTCTCGGGTATAGTAATCAAGCCTCGGTTAATGCATTCCACCGTTTGTTTGCCGCCTTTCCATATGCAGCTACACACTGTCCGACAGTGATCTTCGGTAGCTGTAACCGTCGCAGACAGCACAACCACAGTGACCGTCACCTCTATCAGCACCATCATACTGAAGACGCACCTCATCGTGACTTCAGCACTTGCACTGCGGCCGGCATATCTCACTCGTCACCACACTGTCGCCACTTACGATCGCGGAAAACCCACACCAAATTAATCCGTCAGGGAATGACGTTCCGGTTCACATCACAGCACTGTTTCCGATTTGGAAACCATAACTAGAAAAAAATAAAAACAAATGCCACTGTTTGAGTTGATTATATCAATAAAAAATCGAAATTATAAATGGGGTTCTACATTATATAATTTAATCCTTGTGGTTGTGGGGCTCTATTGCATATGTTGACCACTTTAATCCAACACTTTTTTTTTTTTGGAAGGCTTGGTTCTAAATCACTGGTGTACCTGGAAAGTACATGAACTAGGCCAATCTCGCACAAACACTTTAAACTTAAGATAAACAGAAACACACAAGAAACATCTTCTCTGAACACAAATACGTCGCTAGTGGAATGTATAGGCTATTTCGTAAAAGCTCCTTTGTCTGATGTCACTTCGCTGTTAACCCAGTTGACATAATTAAACCGCACTGCCTGGTGCCTTAAGTTAGCATAGTATTGTCACTCGTCTGTTTAAACATCCTATAGTAGAACATTAAAGAAATACTTTTTTATTAAAAAGAATGTTGTCGTGAGATATCGGCACGTCCAAACAGCACGCGTGATGGAAACGAACTGAATGCGGCTGGCTCAAAGAGAGGACAGGCTGGCTGGTCTTCTCCTTCGTTCGGTAGGGAGGAACCGTTCCCGCTTGCGCCCTCCGACTGCAGCGCCGAGTTGAGGGTGGGAAGAACAACGGCATACCATCGTACTAAAACCAGTTCTCAGTCCGCCAACAATTTTCAATGTCCCTCAGCGGTTGGTCTCGCTACTTCAACAGTTTTTGGCTCAGCCCACGCACGCACAAAATTTTCACACTCCTATTCAATCACCGGATAAGCCGATAGTGACTGTTTAACTTGTTGGTGTGCGTATGTTTTGTTGTCGGGCAGTCCAGTAACCTGATAGAGCAGTGCTTTCTCGTTGCCAGTGGCGAATGTCGTATTTTAACAATCGATTTCAGGCGTCCAGTGCGTCGCTAATCCCCGCTCGTTAGCACGTTCGAACGACAAGCCGAACAGAATTCTGCACGCCCCAGTGAATCTACACTTCAGTGCTTTGATGAACTAAGTAAGTGAACCAAGAGAAACGAGAAGGACTTAGGACTTCATCAGCATAATATTCCTTTGTTGCATATTTCACCAGTAAAATATGTCGCAAATATTTTCGCTGTCGGATTTTAAAATGATTAATCAGATCTCTCTGTTTCTCGATTGCAATATGGGATGCACAAAGGTTATGGGTGGTTCAGTTAAAAACCTACATTTCGTAATGGATATTTAGAAATTAGCTATTTTTGTTACGTAGTAAATATTACTTTCAAGTTTACTAATTAAAATTTATCTGAAAGAAATTATATATTTTCGTGTCGTTTGACATATTTCATGGTCAGATGGGTTTAACCCGCAGACAACTTTTTTCCCGCCCTCAAATGTCGTTCTCTGTGCCGTCGACCTGAATATGGAGGCAGCAAGGACGGTACCCGGCACAGCATCCCAGAAGACAGCAACTTCTTCATACTCGCCGTGAGAACCTGAAATGCGCGTCTAATGTTTTTATTTCCAGGTTTCCCGGCCGTAGGATAGGAATGTTGTAAATAATTTCCAGTTTTTGAGTATATAATTCTATGTGTTTAATGTATATTTTGTTTAATATTTTAATATTTTCCGTCAAATCACAATTTTAATAAGATAATAAAATATTTAAAATATCATTTCACGTTCTGCATCGAATGATCGATTTACAAATTGGAACGATCATTCGATGCGGAACGTGAAATGATATTTTAAATATTTTATATTTTATTATTTTATTAAAATTGTGATGTGACGGAAAATATTAAAATATTAACCTAATTCACAATATGACGCAAATATACTACCTTATATTTTGTTTATATTTATTTCTCAAGACGAACTCTACAATAGTTGTTAAATGTGTAGTTTATCAAACGAGAGGACAACAGCTGTAAAATTATGTGTAGGCATACATTTTACTTATAATAAATGCATCATTCGCTTAGACCTAACGAAATACGATTACATGTAGTTTGAGTGCATTTTCTTTTTGTGATGGTCATAAAAATGCGAGTGAGTACAGGCCAGTGACTTGGGACGCTCCTGTTTTATGGTGGTAGATACGCTGAATTATATTTGTTTGAAGGAGAATAATGTGGGGTAGTCATAAACGCCTCTCAAATGGATGTGCACTATTTTGCTAGATAGTGGAGTCATTGGTAAATCATTACCCTTATCATGATCGTCGTGACAACAGCTTTATGTTCTATAAATCGATTAGTCGCTCTGCAACGGAACGACTTTGAAATGAAAGTGCGACAGTCAGATGCCTGTTGTGGGAAAGGCAAGGTAAACTTCTCCCTTGAGCTCAATTAAGCACCTCGCGTTGAAGACATACAGGGGAGTTGAGGTATAGTTCAATATATATTCTTATATGCGCTGGACTGAAGGCTGGGTGGACCTCAGAGGCTGTCCGGACGCGGTGACGAGAGGAAGATCTATTCCCCCGCCGGTGATCGTACCCCAGACATTTCTGCAGTCTTTCTAGTTGAAATACGGAAGTCAGTTTTATACGGACAATGTTCAAGAGCGCTGTCTACCAGTGGACATAGCGCTGACTGAGGTTTTTGTGGTTTTCCTCAGTCCCTTCAGGCACATTCAGGAATCGTACCTTAAATGAAGCCATGACAGCTGCACTACATCATTTCAGATTTATTGCTCACAGATAATCCTACCATTCGACGTGTATCATCGGAGCTGTTGACAGCTTTGTTAAGTGAATTACAAATTAAGTGATGTATGGACGATTCAGAAGGCAATAAGTGTAAGTCATTAACCTTATTGCAGAGAAACAAAAGGTTTAACAATTTAGCAGTGTGAAGTCAACGTCAGAGGAAGGGGATAAAATATGCTTTGTAAAAAAATTGCTTGTAACTTGTTTTATTGGCGTAAAATGCTTTTACTCGTAGTAATATAATAAAACACGTTACACTACCACAAAGTAAAAAGAATTAACAGTGTTCCAGACTACCACTTTTTGGTTTCTGAATATACAACTTAGTTAAAAAGCGTCGTCTCATAGGCGTTTGTACCTTCATGTCGTATTGTTTATGCTCAGGATTTCTTTAGTCGCCGTTCTTTTGTTCCGGACAGTTAACATGCTTGCAGAAATTTTGAATGTAATCAGGAGCCTATGGCATCTTTACACCTGTTCAGCCGGGGCTGTTCAGTTGCTTACCTACCTGCGGGATGGACAACCAGGGTTCAGTTCCCGGCTACAGTGCCCAGACTGGCAATGGAGCTCAGCCTTCTTCCTGTCAAGTTGATACCGGGGCCTGTCTCATAGGTGTTAACGCAGCCGGAGCATGAAACTACTTGAATTCTTTATTTTTCAGCACATCACTTTTTTGCACTTTGTTCAATGTCTATTCATGAAAACATGCTTCGAAGCAATGGTGCCATCGTCAGGTTCAGTTCCGTGTTTCTGTGTCATTGCACTAATGACGTCATCACAATGTCTAGAAGTGATGATAAAGTGTATATTAAAACTTTTTTAATGTAGCGAAGTCCGTTAAAAGTTAAAATTCCAAAATTATTATAGGAAGTTTTTTAAATTGGTATGTGTTGTGTAGCGTCGTTGTAGAATTACCACCGGGATTCACCAGGCTATGCGTAAAGGCAATTTAAGAAAAATATTTTTGATAATCAGTTAATGAGGTTGCCATTTTATTATCATTTGTGGACAGGGGTGAGAAGATCCCTTGTGCAATGACAAAAGCAGGGGATTTAACCTGACGATGGCCACATTGGTTCGAAATATTTCCAGTGAACGGAGTGTGTACAAAGTGTCACACAGTAAGACTAAGAATTGAACACTGAGGCCTGAAAATGTTAGTTCCGATTCGTGCCAAGATCTCAATGTGTGGAGCACTCACACGTCCCAGTACATCGGCTTCAGCGCAGAACGAATTTACAGGGACTTTAATTGAAGAGCGCTTAAGGGAGCAGGATTACAGAATTCGTTTCTGCGTCACTGTTTGTGCAAGGCTTGACATCTTTATTGCAGGGAGGTGATGGTTATAACGGCGGAGTTATTCTGACGTGAGCGAGATAAAAAAAGACCGATGCTTTCTTTGTTGGCAGCCGCTTAATGTTAATGCCACATCGTTACTAGGTAACGGTGACACTATAAATCAGCAGAGGTAATACGGATAAGAACATGCATCTGACAAGAAGGTAAAGTTGTCCATGGCGCTTTTGTAAAGTAGGCATCACGCCATGCAGACAGATGGGGGGGAGTGGGAATGTAGTTGGACGCGTTATTAACCTCGATGCAAGCTTAAAGCCCCGGCCGCTTTACTCCCGAGGGAGAAACTCCGGTGTAGATGTGGGCAAACAGCTTGGCGTATGGTTGACGTTACAGTTTTAGGAATTCGATAGCGATTCAACAAGTCATGAAAAACGCACTTTGCCTTAAGAATTGAAAATATGATACCCTCTGTCAATAAAATGAAATCTCACACTGTGAACTAGACTGCGAGAAAGATGCCCACAACGAAACCTAAAAGATATGGCAGATTTCAATCTGTGTGAATGTGAATACTGTCTTCTGGCATTCCGGCATGAGTTTACCGACATTTCTAAGGGTCTGATGGAGGCAGCAAGGACTTCTGAAACGCCTGTAGAGTTCCACCAGACTACACGACAGAGCATCCCAGAAGATAGTATTGTTTGTATTTGCTTTTGGAAGATTCTTCAGCTTACTAACCCACTGTCACACGTTTGGCAGGATGCCTTAAACATCCAGAGAGGAGTTCTCAGAAGTATGTCGTAATGAATAGTTTTCATACATCCCGTTAGAAAGTTTTCTTTGTTCACTCTGCTTATATGGTTAAGTGGCACCTAACTGGATGATACTGTGTCCGGCATACAACGTGTCACGCACGGCGCCATTCTGGTCGGTCACCGGACCACAAACGTGTTTTCGATAAAATCGAATGTATGGTTAAACGTAACTGAAATTAAGTGGCGTTCGGTAACGTTTGTGAACTGAAGGGGTGAAAATACAGGTCTCATCAGTTTGACAACCTGAATAATTCATATGAAATTGAGTTTTGAGGAATTGGTCTGTTACATGCGGGGTTCCAGTCAGCATGGTTTTGGATGAATGACATTTAGGTTACACTAGAATCAGTAGTTTGACTCCCTGTCTGTCTGAACCAAAAAAATTGGGTTTGCTACTAGCTCGTATTCAGATGTGGTTGAACTGTCAGTCACTAACACAATTTTATGAGTTTTGTGGCTCCACTTTGAGTTGGTGATTTCGCTGTCATCGAGGTCAAAGGTCACAACAGGAATTTTAAACGTATTTCGGTTGTGTAAATGTGAGGCCTTGTGTTATATTTTACAGCCATCTGGGCACCCATATTGTCCTGTGTGTAATTAATTTGGCTTTCTGTAGGCCATTTTATTGCCAATACAAATTTCTCATGGTCTTGGTTTATGTAAAATTGAATATTAATTCCGATGCATTTAATTTGTTTCATCACAGTCATGTTAATCGTCCTTGTAATCGTCGTAACCTTCATCAGGGCAGTCT